ACAATTTTTAATCAACCAATTTTATGCATAAAAAGACTATAAATGACTCAGCGTTTAAACATTATTTGTATCACAATTTTGTAATATAAGAAAATTATACTTCATTTACAAAGAAAAAAAATTAATTGTGCTCCCTGGCCTAGAATTCCCATACTTCACATTAAACTTAGTATTTTATATTTCATGCCTGCCTTATCTGTTTATTATTTTGTATTAATCACCCGTATGTTTTTGTAATATCTATATACCACATCTGTAAAATGGTGAAGAGATTCAAATAAATGAATGAAAAGGACAAGACCGGACTTTTGATGATTTTTTTAAAAACAGTGTTCAGTATTGCTTCCTTTAAAAATGTACTGAATCAAATACCTTAAAATTGATATGAGTATAATTAATTACTTTGAACATATTTTCTTTCCTTCTTTATTTAAGTAAAAAAAGAAAGAAAATCAAACAAATATTACTGAGTAATTTTATTTTGCTGTTTCCGTAGTTTTTCTCTCTTAAAATACCACCGGTATGATATATTCGAATAATATTAGTTACAAACAACACAGAATGACATGTTGGTCCATCAATAGCTATATTTAAAATAAAATGAGTTCCGAATGAATCCTACACGTTTCTCACACGATTCTTGCACGAAAGTCGCACGTTTCTCACACGGTTCTTACACGAAAGTCGCAGTCGCACGTTTCTCACACGGTTCTTACACGAAAGTCGCAGTCGCACGTTTCTCACACGGTTCTTACACGAAAGTCGCACGTTTCTCACACGCTTCTCGCACGCTCGCTACACGGTTTGCACGAAACGCTTTGGAGCTTACACGAAACGCTGCACGGTTTACACGAAACGCTACACGGTTTGCACGAAATGCTGCACGGTTTACACGAGACGCTACACGGTTTGCACGAAACGAAAAGCGCACGAATGTCACACGCTTTTTTGGGGTAGTAGCACGTTTCAGGGTCTGTATATTTTGCCAGTTTTTTCCTATTGGCATTGCTGCATATAGCTCATTTCTTCAAAATTCTTACAATTAAATTACATCAACTATTGTCCACACTATGACATCGCCAGAATCATGCAAATATGCAATTAAAGGGTAAAAATTATCCGTTTTTAAATTTCAGGATGTTATCGGAAATATGGTTGAATGGTTCACTTTGTTATTGGAAATTTCGGTTTTTGCTAGCGGAAACAAAGGTTGTTATGGTTAGGAAAGTGTAAAGAAACAACAGAAATCTTCATTAAATCTAAATATTGAAAGTGGCAGGCACACAATTCTAATTTTTGGCTATTATTTGTCTCCTTTTAGAATATGTAATTTTTAAAAAATTATTTTTTTTGGGGGGGGGGGGGGGGATGTTTTTGGCACTTCTCATAATCACTAAAATGTGTATGATCTTGACCTGTTCAAAAATATGGTATTAGTTTTAAATTCTCTGAATAATAAATCTCTGATGTAACCAAAATACAAATACCAGATTTAATTATTGGATTCTTACATTGCATTATTCGCAATATGAAAGCATCACAATAATTGCTGAATTCACAGTAATTTAATCTTTAAGTTAGTTTTCTGTATGTTGCCTTTTAGCTGTTCTTTGTTTTTGTCTCTGTTTTCCTTGCTTCATCTTAAATCATTGTCTTTGCATTTTGATCTACCCTTAGCCATCGTTGTTCCCCTTGTTAGTACTAAGTACAGGTATTAGTTATAATAAGTATATTATTTGGCACTCAGGGCCATTGAGCAGCGAGGGTTCTTTCTTGTGCCAATGCCTGCCATGACACGGGGCCTCGGTTTTTAAGGTCTCATCCGAAGAACCCCGTAACTTTCATTTCAAAGTGCCGAGCACATGACGAAGGAACAGTTGCTACCTACTTTTTATCGACTGAGGTTAGTAATGGCCGAGATTCAAACTCACGACCTTCTGATCACGGAGCGAGTGCTCTACTGACTGAGCTGACGAATGGGGGCACTTGAAGTGATGATGTTTTTCAAAAATGACGTAATAGATTGGAAGACATGACTAACTAAAGCATTCTATAGATTAGTACATTTACGTCCGAAACCGCCTGAAGCTAATAGTGGCTATCTTTAATGGAAAACAGAAAAATGATTGAATAGATAGGTAGTTCTATTATAAACTCATAATTATAATATATATTTATATACAAGTTTATTAAAACAAACTAACAATGGATAGCTAGAAAATTTTCAAAAATCACTTAAAACACTACACGTTGCTATTTTCAAGAATTGACAGATTATAGTGGACTTTTTTCCAATCTGTTTCTGAAGCTGAAGGAAACTTTTAAACCTGAGTTTCAGATAACGTACACCCGTAAAATCTTAATTATCCGGCAACATCAACCTTGTTGACTATAACGTTTTCACCTGAGGCATTTTAAACGCTGGTTAACTAACCCTTAATTTGGATTTTTGATCTCAGTCTGCTTATCTGAAGGATATGAATGTCCAAAGAATAAACAAACCATTTTGTTTAATAGAATATACTGTTTTTGACTTCAAAAATAGCTAAAATGTTTTAACATATTCCGAATTTTTTATAAAATATCATTTGAAAGAGCTGTAGATCTTTGAAAGAGAGTGATTTGATTTGTGCTTTTAACTGCTGAAAGTATAATCAGTTATCTGCCAAAGATCACAAACTTTATTTGCTGAAGTATGCAATTATCGATGAATTAAGAAAATTAAAATCACCTAAGTTTTTTAAACATTGCTTACCTTGCACCAAATGCCTGATAACAACTGAATAGCCAATAATGTCTTGAACAGTGTGCTGACACAGGGGCCATAAAATTCACAATTTTAGAACAGGCACCCTTTCCTAGATCATAACTATATACATATTTCATTAGCTTGATACTCTGAGGAGTAGAGGAGAAGATTTTCAAAGAATTAATGCATTTTCACTATATAATCAATAAAGCCCCACCCTAATTTTGGAAGAGGCATCCTTCCTCATTTTAACTATGTACATAGTATATCAGCTTAATACCCAGGAGCAGAGGAGAAGATTTTCAAAGAATAAATGCATTTTCACTATATAATCATTAGAGCCCAACTCTAAAACCAGAACCCCTGACCCAGGGGCCATGAAATTCATAATTTTGGAAGAGGCATCCTTCCTCATCATAACTTTATACATAGTTTATTAGTTTAATACCCAGGAGCAGAGGAGAAGATTTTTAAAGAAATATTTTAATATATTTTCACTATATATTCAATAGAGCCTTGCCCTAGCACCAGAACCCCTGAACCAGGGGCCATGAATTTCACAATTTTGATAGCGGGCTTAATGCTTATTACAATGACTGCTTGGTGTCCAGGAGTAAAGAAGATTTTTAAAGATTGCATTAATTTTAGTGGTTTTGGCCCCACCTCTCAGGCCCCAAGGACCATGAAATTCATAATTTTTGTTCCCCTTCACCAATAAATATGCCAAAATTGGTTGTCAATGAGCAGTTTCAGAAAAGAAGCTGAAAATATTCAAATGTTAATGCATGACACGTAATGCACGACGACGGACAAAATCAGATACCAATAGGTCACCTGAGTGACCAGGTGACCTAAATATGTAATTTATCCATCATATATGTTGAATTTTAGATAAGTTACATGTAGACATACTGAAAGATTCAATGGTCAATTATCAATTTTCATGAATGTTTGAAAATCTAGTGTAGTAAAATTGTTATAAAAAGCCTGATTTCAATGAATAAATTTTTCCTGCGCCTTATGAAATGACTTGTAAATAAGAGTATTTAACTTTCTGACACTGTTTTTTAAAATTATTAATTAAATACTAATGAACTCTTCTTTGCATCTAAATAAGTTTTAATGGCCAAATTGCCATTTATATTGAATTAAATGAGTTTTAAATATAGGCGGGAATCAAGGGCTAGCATTCGTAGTATTTTTTAAGATTTTTCCTAAGTATTCCAATGTAAAACTTCGATCGCCCAAAGTGGCCTCACCCTATCATTTGGGGTTATGATTTGAACAAATTTGAATCTTCACTATGTCAGGAAGCTTTCACTTAAGTTTAATCTTTTCTGGTCCAGTGGTTCTTGAGAAAAAAGATTGTTAAATAACCCCACCCAGTTTTCATTATTTTTGAATTATCTTCCCTTGGAAGAGGGTTCATTTGAACAAATTTGAATCCCCTTTACCAACTCTGTGCTAAGTTTGGTTGAAATTGGCCTAGTTGTTCTTGAGAAAAAAAATGAATTTGTGAAAAGTTAACAACAACAACAACAATGACAAAGACAGACAACGGACAAATTTCAATTAGAAAAGCACTTGAGCCTTTGGCTCAGGTAAGCTAAAATTGCATTTATTAAAGGTTTATATGTATTTAGCATGTTTAGCAAGATTTTGGAATAAACAAAGTGGGGATTAAACAAGACTCACTGTTATTAATTTTTGTGATAATTTTTGTGACTAACATTGTATTAGGTGAACATCTAAAGGTAATAGAGTTGTAAATTTTCTGATCATGCATACAAAACAATACACTTTTTCCTGTCTAAAAAAAAAGGCAAATTGCCAAACCTCCTGGAACTTCTCTTTCACTTATACAATAGATATAGAGTTGAAAAATATATTGCAAGCCAGAATTTGGAAACGCAAAAGTTCAATAATACCTGGCAAAACTGGAAATGTTTATTTGGCAATGTTAATAAGTAACTTATTATATAACTGTTACAGTCTGTTACAATATGTGAGAATTTTCTTTTTTCTTTTTAGTATATTTATAATGATATTTTTTTTTCTCTTTCTGTTAAAATATAAGAACAAATCAAAATGAATGAGTGTGAGTGAGAGAGTGAGAGCGAATGGTGTGTAAAAAAGAAGAAGTTAAATACTTCATGCTGTAATAAAAACTTCATGTTTGTATTAAGATGAAAAAATAAATAAATAAAAAAAAAAAATCGATAATTTTTAGGGAAAAAAGATGTATACTCACCAAGCTGTGTGCTTCCATAGTGAATAAGTTCTCCACATCCACAAGGACAACCATCTGATTTGCCTTTGGTGTGAATACTATCCAAAAAGTAATTTGATGGGTATGGGAGCAACTGGGAGAGCAGATGTTGTGAAATGATTGATGCTACATGCGTTTCCGACATTTTGTGTCGCAATTTCATCAATCTGCTTTCATGATACTCTAAAAAGGAAACAAAAACTTGTGATTTTTAATTTTAAAAAAAAGACCAATCAAGCAACCAGTGCAAATAACTATCAAAAAAAAATTCTCAATCAATAAGCACAAAGCATTAAGGTGGCATGTCCCAGCCTTAATATCATGATTAATAGGTTCTGAGTCGTCCGCATGGCGCAGTGGTTAGAGCGTCTGCTCTAGAGTCGCGGTGTAAGGAGTTGATCCTTACGTCGCGGGTTCGAATCCCACTGTGGGACGTGGAGACCGGTCCTTCGGATGAGATGTATAAACCGCGGTCCCGTGTCGCAGTAGGTGCTGGCACGAAAAAGATCCCTCACTGCTCAATGGCCGTAAGTGCCAAGTATAGGACAAAATTTGCAGCTCTCCACCGGCAAGTGGTAGCATCTCCATATGAGTTAAAAATTCTCGAGAGGGACGTTAAACAACATACAAAACAAACAAAATAGGTTCTGAAAATCAGGAGTGTTTACATACATGTAACTATATATATTTATATATATACATATAAAGACAAAATTAAAATATGTCAAATTGAGTGAGTTTTAGATATTTTGGAGTTTCATTCATTTTATTCAAAAAAAAAAAAAAAAAAAAAAAAAAAAAAAAAAAAAAAGAGGCCTGACAAAGTGTGATGATTCTTAGCCCCTTATTATCTTAAATATTCAGATATAGCCATCAGATTATCAGATTCAAAACTTTTGGTAAACATACTACTAGACCCCAAAATGCCTCAACTGACAAAGTTTGATGATTTTAAGACTCTTATTATTTGTAATATTTATATATTGCCTTGAAATTCCAAAAGTAGGTCACTGTGACCTCCTTTTTAGTTGACACATTCAAAGGACCAAAGATGCATCAAATGACAAAGACTGATGATTCTTAGCTAATTAGTATCCAAAATATTTAAATATAGCATAAAATCTCAAAAGTAGGTCACAGTGACCTACTTTTTTGTTGACGTTCTCCGAGGACCCAAGATGCATCAACTGACAAAGTTTGATGATTCTAATCCAATTAGTACCTGTGATATTTAAATATAGCCATAAAATTTAAAAAGTAGGTCATGGTGACCTACTTCTTGGTTGACGTTCTCCGGAGACCCAATATGCATCAACAGACAAAGTTTGATGATCATGGGTATGAAAGTGCCCAAAATATGCCTCTAAATCAATTTGAAAATGAATGTCTGCAATATTCAAAAAGTAGGTCACTGTGACCTACTTTTTGATAAATATGTTTCAAGGCCCAAAGATCAATTTACAAGGTTTGATGATTCTAAACTTTTCAGTATTTGAAATAATGACCTTAAATGTTTTGAAAAAGATAAGCCATAAAATTCAAAAAGTAGGTCACAGTGACCTACTTTTCAAATGATGTACTTTGGGGACCCAAGATGCATCAGCTGAAAAAGTTTAATGATCAAAAGCTTTAAAGTGTCCAAAATATGACTCCAAATCAATTTGAAAATGAATGCTCACAAAATTCAAACATAGGTAATCAAAGATTACGAAACTCACCTCGACAAATGTTATCTATGCATAAGGCAAATTTCACATCATATTTTTTTTCTAGTTAATGTTCATCCAAAGATCAATATCAATGCAAGTTTGGTTTAAGTAGGACTTATAGCTACTTGGAAACAGACCTGCTTGAAAAAACTTTTAACCTGTTTACTAGTCAAGAAAATTTTGGTCAGTTCCAACATCCAAAGCAAACCTGGAAGTTTTCATCCTTAGATGCACCATCTATGCAAGTTTAATAATAACACTGACAAGCTATGAAATTGGACAAAACATTCTATTGACGATAACGATAGTCGAGATGTCGGAACATGAAATTTTAAATTAAATTAAATTAAATTAAATTAAATACAAAAATCATCTTTAACACCACTTCTTGCAGGCCCATTATACAACGGGGGTCAGGTTTGTCACTGTCTGTCTAGTGTCTACAGAAATATAGCATGTTGATCAATCTCATAGATGATGAGGTGGAGCCGATTCACCTACGAGATTGATCAACCTGTTATATTTCTGTAGACAGCCAGTGACAAACCTAATAAGTAATAATACCTGCTAAGTAAGCTTCACCTTGCCAAGTATAAAAGAAACTGGGGGATAAGCCGAACCATTATGCCTACATAACGACCAATGAAAAATCAATAAATTCATTTTTCTTAAATTTCAATTTTTGTTAAATCTATGTATTGCTTTACCATTTGCATACAAAATTGACAATATCTGAATATTGTAACAGCGAAATTGATTCTGATTAACAGCAACAACCTCAATTTTCAAAAAATCTGACACAAAATGGATGCAATAACTACATTTTTTAAATAGTCTAAGAGTGGGTCATTGTACAATTTTTTTGAGAACGAATAATGAAAGACAATGGAAAGAAGTTTCTTTTTACACTTGCAAAAATTTGGTACTCTACATAAAAAATTAAGTTTACTTACTGGACTTTTGAGCTTGAATACTGTTCGTTATCTCCATATATTTCATTTACTTAAATTTTCACCGTGGTCTTAAAAATTTTAAGTCCAAGTATGCATACTAAATATGGGGAACTGTATGCTATTTAAAAGGCAACGAGGATCTCTTTAAACGGAATGTTTAATAAGGAAAATATTCAAATCATGCTCTGACATGTCTGATGTTTTGATTTTTTTTTGGGGGGGGGGGGGGATGTTTAACTTTAAAATGAAGTTGCTTGTGGAATAAAACATTTTTCAATGAAAATAAAATAATTATATGAATGAAATAATGAACCCATTTACTAACAGTAAATTATTTAAAATTTATGTAAAAATTATTAAAAAAATTATAATAAATATTGGAATATGTGTATTCCCGTTTTAAAAAATATGCCAGCAGAGCTATTGCTATTCATAACGCCATGTTCACTGAATAATCTTTGTTTATTACTTATATTTACATTCTGTGATGTCAAGAATATCAGAGGGAATCCTGGCTTGCATAAGGGCATGGGTGCTAAATATCTCCAGTGAACAAAAATATGACGATAAAATTAGTAAACCTGATTAATAATAATTTATCCACTTTATCTCCAATAAATCACATACAATATATATGGTATTTGCTTATTAACCACAGTTATCTGGATACAAATCGTGCCGTTTTCAAATTCTTTTAAATTTTTTTGTTTTGATGCTGTTGTGATGCGCCATGACGTCATTGTCATCGAAACTCTCTGAGGAAAATTATAAATAACAATATTATGAAAAAAGAGAATGTTTTTACATTGATTTTAACTTAAGAATGTTTTTCTTATGTTTCTTAAGTTCTTAAAATTCTTTTTAAGAGTTAAAATCATTCTTGAAATAGATACACTATTACAGAAATTTCACTTTGTCTGAACATAAAAAACCCTAGCGTGAAGAGTTATCGTTTTTTGCAACAATATGCATAACAAGAGGCCCACGAGCCTTGAATTGCTCTTCAGATAAACTGTACAACCTATCACTTCTATATGAAGCCTCTAAGTATCCTGTATATTTAGATAAAGCCTTGAAATTCCAAAGGTAGGTCATCATGACCTACATTTTAGATGAAACATACTTTGAGGACCCAAGATGCATTAACTGATAAAGTTTAATGATTCTAAGCCAATATATACCTGATATATTTAAATAAAGCCATAAATTTTCAAAAATAGGCAGGGGTTGAAATTTTCCTGAAAAACCCACTAGCCCAGGGGCTACTGATCAGTAAAAAATTACTAGCCCAAACCTCAAACTAACTAGCCTGACAATTTTTTTTTTAGCAAAATGAAAACATAAATTAAAGGTTCAAATGCTCTGGCCACAAAACAAATTAAACTAGTTCTCAATCAAAAGCAGTCCTTACTAAAACATTTTGCGTCACTGACCTGTCAGTCAATGAAAATACAGCCCCCCCCCCCCCCCCCCCCCCGAGAAATTAGGAGGCCCCCCCCCCCCCAAGTACATGCAGTGCAACCATTATCTTCAATTTAAAGTGCTGTTTTATGAAAAGAAATCTGCATGAGTCTAGCTCCTCTAATTGAGACTGAAGTGGAGTGACACACTTTATCAGGTTTTTTTTCATTTTTCTTTTTGTATTAAATATTTTAAATGCAAGTGTAAATATATTTTTGTATCTAAAATAACTAATATAACACTTACACTTTAGTTGACTGAGTAAATGAAAATAATGTAATGGCATACCTTCATGAATTTTATGAACAGAGATATGGAGGAAATTCGGATTAAGAAAAAAAGATGATCATTTTTAGGAATAAACATAGACTATGGAATAAATAAGTTATGTAGCACTGCTAATTAAAAAATCCTGCAGAACTGACTTGATTTTCAACTTTACTGGCCCCTAGCCAATTTTACTAGCCTTAAACCTGTGGCAGTGGGTTTTGGTAATGACTGCAAAAGAAACCAGTCTTCGTAGAAAAGCAAAAATAAATTATATAGCAATATTTTTTTCTCCATTCTGCTAGTCCGACGGACTATCGTGACATTTAAATTAGCTAGCCCAAGCTTTAAAAGACTAGCCCCGGGCATCGGGCTACCGTATATTTCAACCCCTGAAATAGGTCACAGTGACCTCCTTTTCAGTCAACTAACTCTGCGGACCCAAGATGCATCAACTGACAAAATTTGATAATTCTAAGCAAATTAGTACCAGAAATATTTAATTAAAGCCATAAATTTTCAAAAGTAGGTCATGGTGACCTACTTTTCAGTCGACCTCCTCTGAAGACCCAAGATGAATCAACTGACAAAGTTTGATGATTCCAAGCCAATTAGTTCCTGAAATATTTAATTAAAGCCATAAATTTTCAAAAGCAGGTCATGGTGACCTACTTTTAAGTCGACTTACTCCAAAGACCCAAGATGCATCAACTGCCAAAAAATTGATGATTCTAAGCCAATTAGTACCCGAAATATTTAATTATAGTCATATAAATTGAAAAGTAGGTCACAG